AAATGTTAAAATATGTTATTTAATATTAAAATATAATAAATCAGAAAGTTGGGACAAATCCGAAACGAGAAAAGAATTAAAAAATTATTAAGATGGAACAAAATCGAATATAAGATGTATATTTTTGAGTTGGGATGGGGCGATCAGAAAACCGACCTACTACGCCCGTGCCCATCCCTACAGAATGTGCGAGAGGCAGAGCGGAATGATTGGGCGTGTTCAGCAGCCGCCCATGGCCATACATCTATTTCTTTCGTTGACAAAAAAGAATGGTTGGAGAGAATAGTAAAGAGGCGACCTCTTTGCCAACTGCAAGGCTTGACATTTACAAATCTTCTGGGTTTCTTCCATGTTTGAAAGGTTCAACTTTTGCATCAATTCCTTCCGGAAAATACCATACGGGACGGTAAAACAATATTTCAAGATAAAACTTATGTTTCACTCTGTTAATTTAAACGCGATTACTTAATCTCGAATTCTTTAGAGAGAACATTGTAAAATTAATTTTTAAAACTCTTTTAATCTGCCCCACTTAAACTACTATCAGTTGAGTTTAAAAAAATAAAATTGTAGAAGGAAAAAGACGAGAGAATTTTGTTTTAGTATCATTATCAGTCGGGAAAATGGTCAAAATGACGTTGAGAATGATCGACGATAACATGAACTAAAAGAGAGAGTTTTTATTTTTCTTAAAAAAGATAGAAATCAATTAAATAAAAGCTCAAAGTTAAAAGAGAGAGTCTTCTTTAAGAAGAATTAAATATAACCAAAAGAACTAAGTTCATATACTAATTTAAACCTAAAAGCTAAGTTCAAGTATCTAATTGGACAAAAACAACTTAGGTACCAAATTGTAATTTAGAAGTCAATGTTCATGTCTTAAAATATATATATACTCTAATGATTATTATAATGGTCTATTGCCGTTGAAAGTTATAATTTACAATAAATAAATAAACACTTTGTCTTGAATTTTTGTGAAGTATAAATAAATCTTTAACCATTGCTTCCTTAATTTGGCATCCAAAGCTTTATTGATACTAAGGCATTGGATGCCAACCAAATAATTCACCTAATCATAAATTTTGTCTTTTATGCTTATTTAAAAAAAATTAAGTTAAATTTAGTCGAAGAACTAATGTAATTATTAATCGATTAACTGTTAATATTATTCATTGATACTATACTCCACACAAAATTTACTGTTATACCATTAAAATGGGGTAAAAGATTTGAATAAATTGCACATTTAGTACTTAAACTATTAATTTTGATCCGTTTTAGTACTAAAACTTTCAATTTTTTTAACAATCATACCTAATGTTTAGTTTTCATTTCATTTTAGTACACGTCCGTTAAAAACTTAACGTTTAGTATCTAAATTATCAATTTTGGTCCATTTTAGTACCTAAACTCTCAATCTTTTCAAAATTTAACTTTAAATTTTGAATGGGATACTAAAATGAAACAAAAACTAAAGTTTTTAATGGTGGGTACTAAAATAAAATAAAAATTAAACTTTAGGTATGATTTTGAAAACACTAAAAATTTAGGTACAAAAATATATCAAAAGTGATAGTTTAGGTACGGAACGCGTAATTTACCTAAAGATTAAAGACATGCACTAGAATATGGATTGAATAGTTCATGCTTGTATATATTTTTATTTCTTCAATTAAGAGCTGCACATCACAAAAAATTGCTCTTTTCTACTGACCAATGCCTGTTACTCTACATCAGCAGACATTAACGTAACCCAAAAAAAAAAAAATCAATGTTTCACAGATCTAAATCTGAATCGAACTAAACTAAAACCTTCAAGTTGCAGACAAATCCGTCAACTGTTGAATTTGAGCGGCAAGAATTTTACTTGTTCCCTATAGGATTCGAAGTGCTGGGAGGTATCCTCCTGAAGCTTGAATCCACCAGTTTCTTAGGGTTTCCCTGTGAAGATGAACCCTTAGCCTCTCTCGACACCATCGAAGCATGATCGTGTCGGAGTCGGATCGAACGAGCTTCGGCTCGAGCTATATTAGCTAGAGGCGTCGAAAGTAGAAGAATAAGAGCAAGAACTGCCAGTGGTGGTCGAGTGTTTGCTTTCATGGCTGATGTGGAGGGAATCTTTGTTCAACAAAGTTGGTTTGATCTTGGGTCTCCCAATCTTGCTGCTTATAAAGTTTGTTGAAGAAAAAAATAATGAAATATCTAAGGGAAGATCATGTGCTATATTGTTGACTGTTACGTGTTGTAACTCTGCCCAGTGTTTTTTTCTTCATTTCAGAGGGGCCATGTGATTAAGCAGGTTAATTTTTGAGTAATTTATTGTTTTCTTGGGGGGCTAAATGTGTTTGGTTTTATAATGTTAAATGTTAATGTTGGATCTATATAGTTTGAAAAAAGATAGTGCAGGTAACAGCTGTTATGGAAGAAAGGCAAAATATGATAATAGTGATTTGTAGTAGAAGAACTAGTTTCTCCACTGGTCAAAATGATCACACTTGGTACATGAAGCAGCTGGGTAGAGATCCTAATTATATAACACTGCCAAGATTATTTCCATGTCCCACGAAAATATATTGGATAAACTAAGTATTTAGTATCTAAATTATCAGTTTTGATATGTTTTAATACTTAAACTTTCAATTTTTTCAAAACCATCTAACGTTTGATTTTTATTTCATTTTAATACCCCGTTAAAAATTTGATGTTAAGTTTTGAAAAAAATTGATAATTTAGGTACAAAACACGTTAAAATTTTAACAGCGTGGTACTAAAATGAAACAAAAATTAAACATATGGTATGCTTTTAAAAATATTGAAAGCTTAGATACTAAAACGGATCAAAACTAATAGTTTAAGTACTAAACACAGAATTTATCCAAATTTATTCTTTTAATTCTCCTTGTTACGTCATTTATAGTTTTAGCTATTGTAAACCACTTACATAACTTTTTTCATATCACTAATTCATTTACAATTTACTTACAAATAATCATTCATTTTCACATTTACATAGAAAAAACTAAAAAGTTGTCCTTAAAAACATGACATAAAAAAGAACAAAGTGAATATAATGGATGAAATTATCAATAATGTAGTGATAAAAGGATTCATATAATATTTTTTTTTATGTTTTATACACTTACAAAAGTTTATTTTTCATAAGAGTTCATGTCTGATCGAATTATATATAAAATATTCTTTTGATCAATTTATACATCAGTTAAAAAATTAATATTCATTGAATAAATAAAAAATCAATTATATAAATGATCAAAACAATATTTTTCAAAAACTCAATTATCAAAATAAATGAAACTGTTTAATTTAAGTTTAATATAAAAAATTTATTAAAGTATAATTTTTATAAGTGTCAATATTTTTTTAATAATTTAAATATATAATGTTACAAATGTATATAATACAATATAACGACAATTAAAAAAATTATTAAAAATAAATGAGCTAATAAGTATTTAACATGTGAATTGATTTTTTATTTCTAATTTTTTAAAAGATAGAATCCATAAAATTTTAACAAAAAATTCAATTTTATATATTTTATAAAATACTTTAAGATATACAATTCACCCATCAGCCACCACCATCACAACTGCCAATAACCATCCACTCACTTGTGGATCATTTACTCTCCGACCACTCTTTGACAATTCGCATGTCGATTGGGACAAAAATGTGTTGGGATTTGAGATTTTAGAGTTGAAGTTACGACTAACGATCGACGATGGGTGAGTAGGCAAAGACGGGGTAAATGCTTTGAAATTCAAGATTTTGAGACTTTTTTAGATTTTAAAATATTTTAAGTTTTTTTTGAAAATGATAACAATTTTAAGTTTTTTTTAATATTTATAAAGACACATGTCTTATATTTTGAGTGGTTGATGAATTTTTTTAAGGTCTGTTATGATCAATACATCTAAATGATAACGTTAAAAATATCATACATCTAAATTAATAAAAAAATTAAGTAGCTAAATAAAAAAATTATAGTTTGAGTATTTTTAAGGCTTAATACCAAAATAAGTGTCCAAATTATATCATTATTCTCAAATACGTGCATAAACTATTTTTTTACTCATCTAGGTGCCTAACGTTACAAACATTACTTATTTAGGTGTCTCGCCCATCAACGACGTTAATTTTCCCGTTAAGTGACATGTGTCATAATCTAATAATTTTAGAATGTTATTTAAAAAATAATAAAATTAATTTATTTTCAAAAAATCCCCATTTTCCCCCTAATATATATATATATAAACTCAAAATCTTAAAATCTCTTATTCTAATCTCATTTACTCTAATCATTGATCATCTCCGGCCATCCATTTGCCAGCGATCAACCATCCATACGTATCCAAAACTCTTATTATCATCTCAAAACCAAAATTCTCAAATTCCTTAATTTAAATTTCTAATCCCTAAAATCTCAAATACTCAATTCTTCAAATTTGATTCGATCACGATAATCAACAGTATAACCTTTAGGGTCGTTTGACCATGGAAGGGGGGAGCAAAGAGAGGAGCGCATAGAAGGGAAAAAGGGGTATGCGGGTAGGGGGCCTTTGATTTTTTTATTAATAATTTTTTATTTAAAAAAATAAAAAATTATAAAATTGTGACACGTATCATTTAACGAGATTTTATAATAATTATTACGGTTAAGATAACTAAATAACTAACGTTACAGCATTTGAATAAGTTAAAAAACATTTTAAACACATATTTAAGAATAATGGTATAATTTAGGCACTTTTGGTATTAAGTTTTTTTTAATTAAGCATTTAGTAAATGATAGGTTAAAAGCAATAATGGCAGTAGTTGTACGCTATACAGTACAAGCCTAATAAAGCAAGCCTAATAAAGCAAGCCCAATACAACTAGCGTCAAAATAATCATCCCCCCTCGCTCTCGATCTCGCTCTCCATTAGATTTCAATCTCTCCCTCCACCCCCCCCCCCTCTGTCTCTCATTTTTCCTTTTTCTTTTTTTTTTATAGAATTTTCCTTTTTCTTATTATAATATTTCTAATTCCGGCTTCGATTCTCCTTTGTTCATACAATAACCGCCTCATTTCCCCAGGTAATTATATTTTTTTCGATTTTCGAATCATTTTTTGAATTTTTTGTATGAATTTCGTTATTGTAAGATCGATCTCGTTTTTGATTGATTGTTCCAGGCTTAATTAGGAAGAGATCCTGGTTTAGACGCTGAATTGTTGTTTAATTGATCAACATATTAGTCATTCGATAAATATATCAATATCTGTCTTAATTAATTTGTAATGATTTTGCTTATTCCGTTCCAAAAGTTCACACTAAAAAAAGAGAGAATTGGAACCCTAAAGTAGACCTCTTAATTAGGTTAAACTCTTTGTTTTAATATCAATTATCATGAGTTGAGTTATACTCATGATTCTTGATTCTGAACTCGTCAAAATCATTAATGGATTTTGAGGTTTTGATGACTCGGTAATTTCACTGGATCGCTGTTCCTTTTATAAGCTGAGTTGATTCTTATCTTTAGGTAGAGGATTTTAGTTAAATGGTCGTGGAATATCTTATATAGTCTCTATTTGACTATTTTTTTCATATTTTTCTCTGTTTCAGTGAATATTTTTAATTTAAAAGTTGAAGGAACAAAACAGAGGGTGGTTTTTCTTTGGTTGTAGCTGAGACTGCTTTTAGGTTTCTTGATGGCAGAAAAATCATGTATTAAGCGCCTTCAGAAAGAATATAGAGCACTTTGTAGGTATTGTTTTCTCTTTGTATTGTTTCCTATTCCTTCTATTGTTACTCTTTATATGAATCGTGCCTGGGAAATTCTTAGTTGTAGAAATCTTGTTAATGTTACCTAGTTAAACTTTCATGTTAGTGCAATTTTCCGATCTTTACTGTGTGGTTTATAAGCTTCTTCTATTAATACAAGGAAAATTTTATCTTTGGTATCCTGTCTATGAGGCTTGTTAATGCAGAATTTGCTTCAATAGCGAATGGACTGGAAATTTAGTTTGTACAGAACCGTAGTCTATATTGTCTGTTTTTATTGGTTTATCAACCAACAATTCAGCATTATGTTTAATTTCATTTAAAAAATATAAAATGTTAGATATCTTTTCTCTCCCTTCACTAATAATTTGGTATTATTAAAAATATATTGGTGCTTGAATGATTGTTTTTATTTGTATAACGTTTTTTCCAAATATTTTAACTGTTATTCTATGAACTTATAGGAACCAGTTTCTCATGTCGTTGCTCGTCCATCCCCAAGTGACATTCTTGAGTGGTGTAAGTTTATTAAATCTTTTTTATCCCCTTTCTCTAGATAAAGCTCTATCACAGACGAATACGCATGTCAAAACATCTTCTATAACGAGGAATTTGCTAACTATCCTAAGATTTTATCCTTATAAGTGAAGGAAAATGATTGTTTCCATGTTGTCTAATAATTTGAGAATGATTCATGGAAGGAATAAACCTGACTGTTGGCTAATTATGTATAGGGATCTCAGTTGAGATTCAAAATTTATAAAGCTTCCTGCTAGCTAAGTTCTGGACTGTAAATTTGCCGTTGAGTGTGCCAAAGGCACTTAATCATTTAGCAGACTTCTGGAATACTTTACAGTGAACTAGAATCCAATCTCTATTGTCTTGTGATCTTATTTTAATATTATCTAATTAAAACTTCAAGATATTGCCTTGAAGGAATTGGAAGTCGACCATAATTTGCTTAGATATTTTTTCTTGGTCTTCCAAGTAAGGACGAGTTCTGATATTATAGTGATCAGTACATGGAATCTTAGTATTAAAAGGCGCGCCTAGGTGTGGCCAGGCACTGAAAATGGCGCCTGCCTGGGATGAGGCGAGGCAAGATACAAGAGGCGCTCTCTGCGCCTTTCGGATTTTTTTTAAAGATATTAATAGGAGGTAGAACAGATTAAAGAAGAAAGAAAAAGATAAAAAAAGAATTGCAGTAGTAAGAAAGGAGGAAGAAGACTGAAGAAGACTAGAAAACTCTTTCTTTTATCATATTTCTCATGTCTTAACCCTAATATTTGACCTTTTAACAAGCCCAATCCTATAGCCCAAATTTATAGACCAATTGTAATGTTTATTTATTTATAACAAACCATTATAACTTCTTCCACCCTTTGTTTGCTTTTAACCCAAAGTATACGCTTTATTTAGAAATTTAGTTATTTAATAATACATAATTAATTTTAATTTTTAAAATAATAAAATATTAAATTAAATATTAGTTACTTAATAACTTTTATTAAATATAAAAAATATTTTTTATAATAATTACAAATTTTAAATTGATAATAAAATAAATTTGTATCATTTAAAAATAAATGAAATAATAGTTTTAAATATTAAAAACATTAACTATAAATCAATACATTGTAGACAAGTATTTTAGGAGTTAATCGGTGGGTAATGAGTATAAATATACTCATACAATTAATTTATAACCTTTTTAGCATAGATATGTTTATAATATTGTTTTAAGTATAAAATATGTTCCATAACTAATTTATAGGTTTTTTAGTATAAAAGTGCTCCTCGCCTATGAAAGGCGCGCGCCTGCGCCTAGGCTCCAGGTACCTTTTGCGCCTAGGTGTGCCTTGCACCTTTTAAAACCAAGCATGGCATGTTATCCTTCTATTTATGAAGTTCAATGATAAAATTGGCTATTTTCCTAGTTATTCCTAATGTTGGACATGTAATCTAAGCTTCTCTGATCTTTTTAATTGAGTTAAGATTCCTAGTTATTCCAAGTATGGACTTGATTTAATTTTTCTGCTTCACTTTTTCAGATTATGTGCTGGAAGGGAGTGAAGGAACACCTTTTGCAGGTTGGCTCGTTTATCCGATGATAGCTTATGATTAATTTTATATAACTCATTGTAGAATCTGGAAGTAGCTATCTGATAATGCTATCTGTTGTTCCTTTTTTTTTGGTTCGAAGGTGGGTATTACTATGGAAAGATCAAGTTCCCTCCTGAGTATCCCTACAAACCTCCTGGAATCACGTATGTAGTTTCTTGCAGTTTTTACCTTTCGAAATTTATGATAGAAAACACAGTTTTTTGTGACGTCAAATTATTTTTTTTTCATGTAGAATGATCACCCCCAATGGACGATTTATGACACAGAAGAAAATATGCTTGTCCACGAGTGATTGTAAGTTTTTTGAAGAGTAAGATATTCCTGTTTATTTGTCTCTCTAATAACTGATTTCATTTTAACTTTGCACTTGTTCTTTTTCAGTTCATCCAGAAAGTTGGAACCCTATGTGGTCTGTATCAAGGTACAAGATTTCAGTCTAATTGCACCCTTTTTTGGAACCTTTTCAAGCACCTTTAATTGTCACAGGGTTGTGTTGACATGTAAACCAGTTGCCAAAGATCGCTAACTTCATTTTTGTTTTATTTTGCAGCATACTCACAGGGCTGCTGTCTTTCATGGTGAGACTTGGAGTCTTTCTTGTGTCCTAATTCATTTAAATTACATTTTTGATAAGCTTCAGTACTTCTTGATTGCGTTTGGAATGTTTCCTTAAGCCAAACTGCCTTTTTCTTGTGCAGATGGATAACAGTCCTACCACTGGCAGCGTAAACACTACTGCTGCCGAGAAACAATGCCTGGCAAAGACATCCCTTTCTTTTAATTGTAAAAAGTAAGATTATTACTTCACATATACTGGATTCTTTATCTTTCTTGTTTTGAGAACTACGGCTCTTCAAATCAGTTTCACCCATTTTCTGCTAGTATGATTAATTGATTATGCTTTTGCACCTGTAAATTGTTTTCATGTTGAAGCTAAATTGATTAGCATTGGCTGGATTCTTATCGGCTAACAGTTTATCTCTGAACTTTTCGTGGACATCTCTTTCCAAATTGAGAATTACAACATAGGTCTTTCTATGGCAGCCCGACATTCAGAAAATTGTTTCCAGAGTATGTCGATAAGTACAACAAGCAACAACAACTTGTGCCGGAGCATTTATCTGCAGAATCACCTCAAGGAGATAACCCTAGACCCGAGATAGAAAAACCTGTCAACTCTTCCGGGGAAGATGTTAAAAATGTAGATAAGCCGAGGGATACAAGAAACAGGAAACAACCATTCCCAACGTGGGTGATGTTGTTTCTGTTTTCCATCTTCGGGATCGTGATGGCTTTGCCGCTGCTTCAACTTTAATGTCCCGGGGGGAGGGGGTTTACAACATGGCAAATTCCATTATTGTTAGTGATAATACAGTGTCTAGTTGAGGGAATCCATTTAATGCTCCTTAGGTTTGTCATGTTAGTAGAAAGTATAGGGGAGTTTTGATAAGATTCTAAGGAAGGTTAAGTTGGATGTTGACTAATTATGTATCCTATGTTAAAAGTTCATGTTGGTAATTTTAACTATCGAGTTTGAAACATTACATGCTTGTAATGTTGGTCCATTTTTTTTAGTTAAATCCTGTTTTGAATCATAACATGGGCAATGTAACACTCTATTAGGTCGTAATGGACGCGACGAGACGAGGTCGAGCATTATTCGATTCACAAGTCGTGCTATCCTCTACTAGTGATAATTAGTTACTATAATTATAAAAAAAAAACAGAAACTATTTGAAAAAATATAACTTTAAGCGTACTTAATATATTGCTCAATTTAAGTCAGAACAAAACCTCAACTTTACCAACCTGGGATCAGCAATTTTGAACTTTCCTGTATACTTTCAGCTGAAAGTGAACAATGGGAACCTGTGTCAGAAATCTCCTCAGTTTCGGGGCCAGCCTTGATGAGTAGTTTAATTTGAGCCAAGACATAATGATTTGATTCCTTCCCATTCATTCTTTTTTCTTTTTAATTTTGAAGTGGCGTGCTTCTTTAGTTGAAAAGTTGTTTCACTGACTACATCCTGCTGTAATTTACATGTACCAAATATACATAAAAAGTTAAAAACTCAGATTTAATTCTATCGCTACATTCGAACCTTAATATCTATAACCCTTGTCGTATCTTGATGTATAAATTATTATGTAAAAGCTTATGTCATTTCAACTACCAAAAACTGCTTTCAGTTTCCATTAATCTCCAATACAGGGGTTTGATGGGGTTTCAAGTTTGGTGGTTGGCCCCTTGCCTTTGTTGGAAATCATTCCAGTGCTTGGAGTTCAAGAAATATCCATTTCCTTCATTTATGATCTATATCAACCATTGCCCCTTTTCCTTTTGCGTCTTTATTACTTCTCTGTTAGCTTATCTAGATTCATGCTACATACTTGATGTTTATAACTCCCAGGAAACCATGAGCAACCGAAACACGAGACGAACGGTCGTTCTTGCTATGAATTAGATCTCGGATGAACTTTTCACAGGTATATGCACAAACCCTTTTCTTATTTTGTTGCTTCAAGATCAGAATTCCAGTATCTAAAGCCAATTATGGGATGTGCTCGTTTTTCAGTTTCTAGAAGAAGCAAGACAGCATGCAACGGACATAAACTTGCAGCGGTCATCTTCATGTTCCGAAACAAGATTAGGGGCTGAGAGAAAGAGCAAGAAATCATGGACAGTACACTCACTCTTCTCATGGTGCAAAACTGACAGAAAGAGCAAACCGGGTTCGGATCCTGTCCGTGTTTCTAACAAACTTTACGGTTCTGGTCCGTTGTGTGGAACCACCAAGGGAGTTGAAACACCGAGCTGCTCCATTGTCGGGGCTGCCGTTCTCGGTCCTTTTCACCCCTACAAGGAAGATGGAGAATGAGGTGCCTTACATGAGTCTAGACCAGCTTAACAATCCTTATCATGTCAACTCCTATGGACCTGTCTATTTGGTGACATAGTTGTATCAATGATAGGGTATTTGAGATGGGGCAAAAACTGTGGAACTTTGTGACATTTAATGAGGTGAGTAACTGGAACTATCAATTATGGTGGGATATTTGACAGGTAGGGTTTTGTGAGTTGCAACTAGAACCAGCTCTCCTAGTTAATTTAGATCATAAGTGATTCATGCAGTCAATGAAATTGAAATTCCATTTCTAAAATGAGTTGGAAGTGACCTTTCTTTTTATTTAGTTAAAGGGTTTAAAGGACTTATATCAAATTATTACTTTTGAAAGGGGCTAATCTAGAATATTACCGTATTATTCAAGGGGAAGGCTTATTGCTTGCATTAAGAACACGTCAAATGAAGGTTGTTAAAGCTCTAGCTACCATGCATAATTATTTTTCGAGTCCCTCAACTTTTTGAACATTGAAATCCATTCTGCAATCCTCTACTTATCCAATTTGTGGGAAGTACATGACTACAAGTTTCTGAAAGTACATGAACCGTAGAAAGAATGGCTTCGTACAGATGAACAAAAAAAAACTAATATTATATACGGTCAGGATATTGCCCTACTCTGCTCTAGTATTACATTGCAGCTGCAATGCAGCGTAATAGTCATATCAAAATATTTTTTTAGATCATCCTAACATTGTAGCCGAATTCGCAATATAAAAATATAATTATTTTTAAAAACAAATCACAGATAACAAATCATGTAGTAATGTCAGCTAACTTCACTAAACATACCCAAAACTCTCCAAAACGTCAATGTAAGCTCCGACGAAAGAGGGTTTTCGATCCATTTTCCGACCCTTTTAGCCAAAGAAAGCATGGGATAAAGGAGAAAGCAACGTTTAGGGGCGACGTTAACCCTGCAAATAGGGCAAGTCTTACCAACTTTAAGCCAAGCATCGATGCAGCAAGCATGGAAACCATGGCCACACCTTAGCCACCGGAGTTTTTCCCCTTGGGAAACCCTACTAATGCACACGACGCAATATTCAACCTCATGGCCGCCGGTACTTGCGAACCGTTTGCTATAAACGTGAAAGCAGCCGGCGGCGAACAAAGCCGTGGAAACCCAGATTTCCAAGAGCATATCTTTGGTTAACGTATCGTGTGTTTTGTTTTTTGTATGGGAAAATGGAGGGTGTTGAATCGAGTTTTATGGTTGTGTTCGTTGGACTGGTAATCAAGCAAGGTGGTGATTGTAGACAATATATTTTTTCATTTATTATTATTATTATTATTATTAAATAAAAAAAATTATAGGCCCAACCAAACCCCAAGGCCCGTTTACAGCTGGCCCAACAAAAACCCTAAACCCATTCAAGGTTTCTATTAGGGTTTCATCACCCCATCTCCAGCTGTCGTTTCCACTGCCAGCTGCCCCACAACGACGCCGTTGCTGCTGCCACGCCCCAACCCTCGCCGAGCTTTTCAGAAGCCAGCTGCTCCTCCACATCAATGCCCTATGGTGAGTCACCACCATAGTCTGGTGACTCACCAAAAGGCCCCTCTAACCGTGGTGGCTATAAAAGCCACCACCCCTGCAAAATAAAAAGTGCAGAGAGAGCAAGAACAAGGAAGCTAGAGAAAATACCCAACAAACAAGCACCCAAAACAGAAAGAGAAGAGCGAGAGAAACTTACCAGGGAAGACAACACCTCGATCAGAGTCACCACTCGCCTCCACGCGCCACTAAAAGCCTTCGAAAACCGAAGGTACTCTCGTAGATTTTCTCCGATTGGGAGCTTTTTAAGGGAAACGAACACCGGAATCGTCATCAGGACGTTCCGATCTTCATTTGGGGTGATTTTGAAAAATCCACGTGGCCGGCGACGACGGAATACGGCGGTCGACCTTCCTCTGGTTGGAGGAATTTAGAGAGAAGACAGACCAGGAAAATGAAACTCTCGACCCTTTTGGGCCGTTTTAGGATTTAAATACCCTTTCCAAAGACGTCGTTTTGGGGAGAGGTATATGAGTAATTTCATAATGGGTAAACTATACCCGCAACCATTATTGTTTTGAAAATTTGCATTATAGTCACTGAAATCAAGTTATGATCATTTTAATTCGGTCTCTTAATTTTATTTTCTTTATAATTTAGTCTCTGCTATGCTTTATATATTTTAGGTAAAATAACCGATTTAGCCACTGTAAATTTAATATTTAATATTTTAATCCGAATAATTAATTAGGTTAAATTACACTGTTAAACATTATTTCTTATAATATTTCAAATTAGTATCTCTAATTTCAATAATTTATATTTTTATCCTATAATTTTAATTTTATTTGTTTTGATTATTATTCAATTTTAATTTATTTTTTATTACTTTTTTATGTTCAATGTGTTTAATTTAATAATTATTTTATTTTTAGGCATATATATATATATATATAAATAATAATATTTATTTATTTTTTAATGTTAAGAAAGGGGTTGTCTTAAAGCAACTATATGTCTTTTTCTGATATTTTTAAATATATATATATATATTAAATAATAATATTTATTTATTTTTTAATGTTAAAAAAGGGGCTGTCTTAAAGCAACTAGATGTCCTTTTCTGATATTTTTAAATAAATAAATATCTTACTTTTATAAATTATATATATTTAATTTTATTTTGTTTAAATTATTTTTAGGAAAATGTTTTATTTATTTTTTTAATATTAAGAAAGGGGTTGTCTTAAAGAAACTAGATGTCATTTTCTGATTTCTTAAGTAAATAAATAACTTATTTATAAAAATCTAAATATATATATATATATATTAAAATATAAAAATTAATATATTTTCTTTGAATTATACTAATAAATTTGAAATAACATGATTATAAATTAAATATATTCGAAATCTTAAATTTCCAATAATAGAGACAATTTATAATTAATGGGTACCAATTTTGAGCGTTAAAGGGGTGTTAATCCTTCCCTAAATGTAACCGACCATGAATCCCTTTTATTACTAAAAAAATAAATTTTTGGTTATACGCAGACATGTTTATCTTTTAAATTATGTTTTCCTAAAAACTCTTTTAAAAGATTATTTTCAGGTATTTGACATACCTAATCCAAAAAGGTCGATGGCGACTCCCAAAATATTTTTTAAAATAAAAATCATTTATTTATTCATCTTATTTTTCGCCAAGAAAATATTCGTACCCGGACGAAAATCGGTTACGACAGCTTGGCGACTCCGCTGGGGACCTGGTCAAACCTAAATCAATTATAAATTGTCTCTATCAATTAGAAATTGAAAATTCATATTTATTTAATTTATAATTATTTTCTTTCAAATTATTTATTATTTTTAAAATTCTTTTTATATATCCTGATATACTAATATTTTTTATTTTTAGTTTCAGATATTAACTTCATTTTTTATTGGTTATTTGTCAAATGTTTGAAAATTTCTCCTCACACACAACACTTGCATTGCATAAACATAATCTTTATACTTGAGCTCTTTTCCCTTTTTAAGTGGGAGTGAAAGCGACGTCTTCGTGAGAATTTATTCTCCGTGTCAGGCATAGATAAATGTATCCCCTCGAATTGAATTTGATCCGCTTAAGTCTGTAATGGACTAGGATTAAGGGTTTAGCAGCCCAAGGGGGCACCAACAAGGACAATTCGAGTACTTTTACTCATAGAACCATAACCCTACATATAATAAACCCTAGAAATTCATCTGATCTGAAATCATGCCGAAATTTTGTCCAAAATAGGTGTACACAAAGGAGAAATGAATTCTAACTTTTGCCTTTTAATTTATTTATTTATTTATTTCCCTTCTAAATAAATGCATGTGAATTTAGATTATAATATTATTTAAAGTATGCTATGTAGAAAGCATGTTTAAATAGAAATATTTGAGTAGACATTATTATTAAATTAAATTTTTCCTTCCTTATTATTTGAACTAATTCATTTTTTTTATGTTTTTTTCTTTTATTTTCGCAATTTGCATGGCATCATACAAGATTAAAGGTATTGATCTTCGAGTTAATTGTCTCATTGGAAAACAATCATCAATGGATAAAAAGTATTCGAATCAAATAGTTCCAAACTCAAAGTAAGACAGTGGTCTAAAGAATTGCAAAGACAGATAGAAGACAGTTTGCGGGATGATTATGTACCAGATTTAGCAAGTTATGCTCCAGTTTCTCTCAAAAGGAATAATATTCAAGACATGCGAGGCATTTGGGATAGTTGGATTCAAATAAAAAGCTACAGTTCTATCAGTATTACGGGTACATTCCATATTTGCTTTATGTTGAAGTGGATGATGAATTGCTTCGCGCCCTAATTCTGGAATCCAAGATATAATTGCTTTACTTTCAATAAAGAGGACATGATTCCTACTATTGAAGAGTATACAACCTTGCTACATATAGAAGGGGCTTTGGAGAATCGAATTTATTCGAGGTCAATCAAAACTCAACTTTCGAGTTAAATTAGCAAAGATTGCAGGAGTACGTAAGAAATGGGTGGTGACCTGTACAAAACAAAAAGGCGAGGGTGAAGGCATTTCTTGGACAAACATCAAAGAAATCATTCAAAGTCATCCAGATGATAAAGTACGATTTGATCTATTTGCTTTGGGTATATATGGGCTAGTCATCTTCCCGAAAGCTTTGGGATATATCGAAGTTGCAGTAGTAGATTTATTTGCGCAGCTACGAAAAAGGGTCAATCCTACTTCTGCAATTCTAGCAGAGATTTTTTGATCATTAAGCGCTTGTAGAAAATTGAGAGGTGGATGCTTTTTTGGATGCGCACAATTGTTATATGTCTGGATTTGTAGCCATTTTTGGAGGACATAAAAGGTATCATATCATCGTTTTAGTACAGACTACTCACATTTGAGAGAGTTTCTTGAGCGAGAATGGTCGAAAGAAGTCATAAAAGATATGTGGATGAATGCCCTTCGAAATATTCATCGAAATATTCAAAGTAACGACATCGTTTGGTGCGCCCCTTGGCAAATACAAAGGGATTTCCTTTACAAATGTGGTGAATACAATTGGGTGATGTT